AGAGTGCCTATCAGGTAACTGGGGAGGCTGAGCCACTGGGCCCTACAGGACGTCTACTACACAAAGCCACTCTACCAATTCCAGGAGACATTGCAGCTCTCCTTAATACATAGAAACAAACACAGGGAAGCAGCCAAAATTTGAAGACAAAGAAACAGGTCACAAATGAAAGAAATGGAAGCAAGCAAACTATTGTCTACAGAGTTCAAAACAATGATTATGAGGTTACTGAAGGATCTTAATGAGAGCTTTAAGGGACTCAGTGAGACTTTCAAGGATCTTAGTAAGAATGTCAAAGATATGAAAAAGGACCAGTCAGAAATTAAGCATATACTAACTGAAATAAAGAATAATTTACAGGGACCAAAGAAGTTATATACTTATATGCATAGCCCATGGACACGGGCAAGAGGGTAATGAAGACCTGGGCATGGATGGGTAGGGGTTTGGAGGAAAGGGGTTAAGGGTGGGAGAGGGGAGAAGGAGAGATATCTGTAATACTATCAATAATAAAAAAATATATTTAAAAAGAAAAAAATCATTTATAGGGATTCAATAGTAGAGTAGAGGATTCTGAGAATCAAATCAACAATTTTGAATATGAGGAATAAAAAAACATCCAGTTAGAAGAGCAAAAATAAAATAAAGATAGTGTAAGGAGCCTCTGAGGCAACTTCAAGCGTACCAACATTTGTATTATGGGGGTACCAGAAGGATAGGAGAGAGAGCAAGATATTGAAAACCTATTTGAAGAAATAATGACAGAAAACTTCCCCTACCTGGCGAAAGAAATAGACTTACAAATCCAGGAAGTGCAGAGAATCCCAAACAAGAGGAACCCAAAGAGGCCCACATCATGATTAAAATACCAAAGGTTAAAGACAAAGAGAGAGCCTGGCTGGCATGGCTCAGTGGTTGAGAGTCGACCTATGAACCAGAAGGTCACAGTTCAATTCCCGATCAAAGTACATGCCTGGGTTGTGGGCTCGATCCCCCGTAGGGGGCATGTAGGAGGCAGCCGATCAATGATTCTTTCTCCTCATTGATGTTTCTATCTTTTTCTCCCTCTCCCTTTCTCTCTGAAATCAATAAAAACATATATTAAAAAAAAAAAAAAGGACAAAGAGAGAATCTTAAAAGCAGCAAAAGAAAAGCAGTTAGTTACCTACAAGGGAATGCCCATACAACTGCCAGCTGATTTCTTAGCAGAAACTTTGAAGGCCAGAAGGGAGTGGCAAGAAATATTCAAAGTGATGAATAGCAAAGACTTATAACCAAGATTACTCTACCCAGGAAAGCTATCATTTAGAATTGAAGGTCAGATAAAGAGTTTCACAGACAAGAAATAGCTAAAGGAGTTCATTACCACCAAACCAGTATTACATGAAATGTTGAAGGGAGGGAGAAGAAAGAAGAAAGAGGAAAAGAGAAAGAAGAAAGAACAAAGGAGAAAGAAAAAAGAAGAAAGAAGGAGAAGAAGAAGAAAAATATGAACAATAAAATGGCAATACATATCTATCAACAATTGAATCTAAAAATCAAAATAAACGAATCATAAACCTAATGAACAAAATAAACTGATGAATAAAATAGAACCAGAGGTATGGAGACATGGAACAGATTGATGAATCTCAGGGGGCAAGAGTGAGGGGGGTGCGGAAAGAGATTAAACAAAGATCTTATATGCACACTAGATGCCCGATGCACGAAATTCGTGCATGGGTAGGGACCCTAGGCCTGGCCGGCCATTAGGGCAGATCTGTGGGGCAACTGGTAGGGCAATCATGGGACCCCCACTGGCACCCGCCTTGGCTGGCCTGGGGCCTGTGGGCTGCGGGCAGCTCCTGCGTTGAGCGTCTACCCCCTGGTGGTCAGTGTGTGTCATAGCGACTGGTCGTTCCACCTGTCATTCCACCATTCGGTCTATTTGCATATTAGGCCTTTATTATATAGGATATACATTACCTTTGGACACAGACAATAGGGTGGTGAAGACCTGGGGTCAGATGGGAACTGGGTGGAGGAGGGCAATGAGGGAAAGAAAGGGAGACATCTGTAAAACTCTCAACAATAAAGATTTTTTTAAAAAGACAAAGACTTTGGAAAGTAAAAGGAAGAGAGAGGGGACAGTGAGTACATAAGATTTTGGAGGAGGAATCCCAGGTTATGTGAAAGTGTAGTGGGAAGGATAGGGAAGTCAAACCAAGGGGACTCAAATGTGAGTCTAAAAAACTTATGTGGTTTATGATATATGGGACATAAAAAAAGGTAGAACATAAGAGTACCAAGAAGAATTCTGAAGTCAATGATAAGACGAAAGGAAAATTAGGTTCATAATTAGAGAGTAGATAATTCACTTTGGCCTAGAAAGGCAACATGATTCTGATAGGCTGTTCCAGATTATATAAACTAATAAAAGCCATGATTCAAATCAGGCCAGAAATTATTTGGTTGGTACCCTTCCCTCTAAGTCGTGGGAATTGGCTCAATTTTGGTATGTTCTTAGATATGTTAGCTGTGAAATGACATTGGTCTGAATAAAACCAAACCTCACGAACTAAACCTTTAACAAACATATACACACAATCACATCCACCCCTCCCCCCACCCCCACACACACACCAAGTCCAGCTCACATCCATTTTGGTAAGATACTTTTATTTTTTACTATTTTTTTCTAATTATAAAATTAACACATAGATCACTTTAGAAAATCTAGTCTTTCCGTTGACATTAATTTTAATATTGACATAAAAACTTAGTATGAGTGTACTAACAGCTGCAATTCTATACTGAGAACCAGTGTGCCTGGAAACTAGCCAGATGGCCAAGACCAGTATATCAGCCCAAAGATAATATTAGTCTTTCCAAGAATCATTTGGGGCTCTACTCCTAAATGTCAAAGGAGATTGCTTCCAGACCACCTCAAGACCTTCCCTAGAATGTATGAGTTAAAGAGGCGCAAAGGAATCTCTTAAGAGTCAAAACCCCCCAAAAACCTGAATATAGTAAACACCACTACAGATCGTTGGTTGGAAACTCAGCATATAGAGGTGCACAGGTTTAGCAATATTCATAGACAAATTTATTTTGATCAGAAAGTTTTAGGATATAAGAAAGAAATCCTCAAAGGAGAGACAATCTTAACCCCAATCTACACATTGTTGGTTTTAGAGTATAAGTACAAATTAAAACAGGGTGATATAATCATTCATCCTGTTCAAACAGAAGAGTTTTTATCTGAATGAACAAAGGTATATTGCTCAGGGACTTCAGTTTATCTGTGTGAAGCAAATTAAACTTTTGCAAGGTACCAAGTCACAATGCAGGAAATAAATGATAATTTAGTCCAATTTTATCAATGTATTATTCACATGAATAATGTAAGAATTTTGGACACCTGCAATAAGCACTTCAACATGTCAGAAACACATTTCATTCAATAAACATTTAGTGAGTATTCTTAAGATTGAGAAAGATGTCTCAAAACTTCTTTAAAAAAGAAAAAGCAGGCTATTTAGTATGCTGAGTATAAAGAGGAAGGATTATTTTCCTATGTTACTTCACTTTACTCCCATCTTATACTTTATAGCTTGCCTCACTAAAGGAAAAGTCTCAGGCTCCATTAGATTACAAATATATTTAAACATAAAAAATATTCATATTAATATGCTATATTGATATTTTCAAACAATGTGTATATTTTATCAAAAACACAGATTCTAAACCTTCTGATGATTAAATGTTAGTGATATCTCTTGGTTATTATTACCAATAAGTAACTAACTTGCAAAGACACTTAAATATCCCTTATTTTCCCCAAAGTCTTTATATATAAGTGAGATTAACAAATATTTCTTCAGTGGAATCTAGTTAAGATTCACTTAGAAACAGATCCTATATAATAAAAGCCTAATATGCAAACTGTCCCCTCGACTGGGAGTTCCACCAGGAGTTTGACCACTCGCTATGACGTGCACTGACCACCAGAGACATGACGGGCCTCGGTGACGCGGTGCTGGCAGCGGGCGGCAGTGGAGGTGCTGCTGGCTCCAATGGGCTTCTGGGTGAGCTGGGCCACAACCACGGGGACCGCAGGGGCCAGTCTGGCTCGCCGTGGGTCCGAGCAGGAGCCGGTCTGGGAGGCTGGCTGGGAGAGAGAGCGCGCTGCCTGCCCACCCAGCTTCCATGCGGCACCGCTGGGCAGCCCAAAGGCCCACACTGAGCCCCGGCCCACCCCGTCCGGCCATGCTCACCGCATCTCCGCGTGGGGATTCAGGCGCTGAGACTCAGGCAGGGGGCATGTGCGGACCCGGGGTCCCAGGTGCTGCCCAGGGCCCAGAGGTCAGCTGGGACCTGCCCTTCCACGCCAGATGCTCGCGCTTTGATCACCGGCCAGGCCTAGGGACCACACCCACGCAGAATTTTGTGCACCGGGCCTCTAGTTTAACATAAAACTTAACAACAAATACTGAAACTCCATCATACATAACCCCTACTATAATGAAGTATTGTGTATTTGAAGTAAGTGAATATGTTTTTTGCTCTCTTGATTTTAGTAAATAATTAGCAGAATATAAAATTTTCCCTTAATTACATTCACCAAAAATCCAAATTTTCCTAAAATTTACTCTTATTCAGGAGTAGGTATTCAATAAATATTTACTTAGTGCCCACCATGTATTGGGCACTATGCTGTAAGTGCTAGAGAGCTGTGAACCCCAAACAGCCATGTTCTACCTAAATAACACTTAAGTGCTCCTGCTTTTCCAGAGCACAGATTTACATTACCACCTCTTCAAGTGTCTCATGTTTTTGAAAATGTAACTATTCTAGTAATAGTTTGAAAAATTCTATTTATGAATTTTATCTGTAAAGGAAAATTTATAAATGATTATGTTTTTTAAGATATAAAAATGTTTGTCATGAAGTTTGTTTTTCAATAAGGCAACAGCAAAGCATCAAAGATAGCACAAACCACTTTAAACTTTGAGATTTACCTGAAATGGGAATATTCTGTGAGACTGATAACTGCACATCTCCAGTTCCTGGTGGCATGTCAACAACTAAATAGTCCAGGTGACCCCAATCTACCTAAAAATCAAACACAAATAACATCATTGTATAATAACTGCAGTAAAAATAAATGTATTAGTAACAAATCTAAATAATAGCTTCCACTTGAGCCATTACTAAAAGCCAGGGACCATGCTGAGGATTGATATATGAAGAAGGAAGGAAGGAAGGAAGGAAGGAAGGAAGGAAGGAAGGAAGTGAGGGAGGGAAGGAGGGAGGGAGGGGAGGACAGTCACTGACTCTAGCAGACCTCTGAATGATAAGGTTAAATTTCCAAATGAAGCCCTCCTCTTTAACCACACACATACACTAATGGTGAACCATTTGACAATGGGCTTCTATTCAGGACCAATCATTTATTTTCATTGGGAATAACCCATATTTTATTAAGAAAGCCTTACTTTTTTGTCTTTTGGACAAAAACGTTAGCATTTTCTATGGCAGATCCTAATAGAATTTTTTTTATTATTTTTTAAATTTTTTAAATATATTTTATTGATTTTTTTACAGAGAGGAAGGGAGAAGGATAGAGAGTTAGAAACATTGATGAGAGAGAAACATCCATCAGCTGCCTCCTGCACACCCCCTACTGGGGTTGTGCCCGCAACCAAGGTACATGCCCTTGACTGGAATCGAACCTGGGACCCTTGAGTCCGCAGGCTGACACTCTATCCACAGCCAAACCAGTTAGGGCAACTAATAGAATTTTTTAAAATTTATTATTTTTCCTTTATAAAACAAAAATAATGAAAACCAAAAGTTAATAAGAAAATTTTAGATATATAACTAAATTCCCAATACTATAATATTTTAATTATTTCTTTCCAGGTATTTTACTAAGTACCTTTATCTAGAAAAGTCAGCTATATAACCAAGTCCTTAATGCTCAGCTTCAATATAGACAGGTCTCAGGCTCTTTTCTCCTAAGATGGTTTCTCCCTCTGAGTTCCAGTGAATGGTGAGCCCTAGGACCCTCTCAGTTGCCTAATGCAGAAGTTTGGAATCATACTTAACTCCTTCCTTTCCCTCACTATCCCAGTCACCCACTTCTCTCTTCCCTACTGCCAAGAACCCAGTGGAGGCCGCAACCATCTACCACTAAAGCCTCTGAACCAATCTCTCTGCTCCAGTCTGTTCCTAACAACAATGAGAAATGGTCCATCTAAAACGCAAGCCTGACAGTGTCACTTCTTGGTTTAAAACTCTTCTATTGCTTTTAGGATAAAGTCAGAGCTTAAGCTCCAGAACACGCTGCTTGGTTTCTTCACTTGCTAATTCCTCCTCATTCTTCAGATCCCACCTTGAAATTTACTTCCCCTAACTTCCATTAGATTAGATATGGTATTCCTAGTGTGTACTTCTCTCATTCATTCATTCATTCATTCATTCATTCAACAAATGTTTACTGAATACCTACTATATATTAGGCATTAAGCTAGGTATTGATAATTAAGTGGTATTATGGTCCCTAACCTCACAGAATTTATAATATATAGAGACACATATTAAGCATATAACAAAATAACCGAAGGGTTGCAGGTTTGATTCCAGGTCAAAGGCACGTACCTGGGTTGCAAGTTCGATCCCTGGCCCTGGTCAGAGGGCATGTGGGTGGCAACCAATCGATGTGTCTCTCACATCAATATTTCTCTCTCTCTCTCCCTCCTTCCCATCCACTCTCTCTAAAAAATCAATAGGGGGAGGGGGAGAATAACCTATGCAATGTTAAAAGATTAATAAATGTGAGTAACTGAATGAAGATCAACATAGCTAGAGAGTAGTGATGAGGGAAAGGGTGGAGTTCATTTCATGTTGTTTCATGATCTGTCTTCTCATGAAACTGTAACTGAGCTAGAATGCCCAGCACAGAATGGACACACTGGAGATACTTAATAACTTTTCTTTCAAGAAATGAATGAATAGCCCTGGCCGGTTTGGCACAGTGGATAGAGCATCGGTCGATAGACTGAAGGGTGCCGGGTTCAATTCCACTCAAGAGCACATGCCCGGGTTTGGGGCTCAATCCCCAGTAGGGGGCGTGCAGGAGGCAGCCAATTAATGATTTCCTCTCATCATTGATGTTTCTATCTCTCCCTCCCTCTCCCTCCTTCTCTGAATTTTAAAAAAGAAATGAATGAATAGCCCTGACTGGTTTGGCTCAATGGATAGAGTGTCGGCCTGCGGACTCAAGGGTCCCAGGTTCGATTCCAGTCAAGGGCATGTACCTTGGTTGCAGGCACATACCCAGTGGGGAGTGTGCAGGAGGCAGCTGATAGATGTTTCTCTCTCATCGATGTTTCTAACTCTCTATCCCTCTCCCTTCCTCTCTGTAAAAAATCAATAAAATATATTTTTAAAAAAAGAAAGAAATGAATGAATAAATGAACACATGCAAACTTTCAAGAATTTTTTACATGGAAATCATACTATGCATATAACCGCACATCTTGCTTCTTAAAATTTAATAATGTGAAATAAGCCTTTTACATACAATCATATATTTTCTAAAATTAGAGTTCAGATGATATTGGTTCAAATGGACTCATTCATGTAGTAACACATTTATTCAAATCATATTTATTGAGACTTGATTAGGTGTCAAGCACTGTTCCAGGTGATGGGGATAGAGCAGTGAACAAAACAAAGTCCCACCCACCATGAAACTAACATTTTAGTGAGGGAGACAGACAAACAGACAAATCAGAGAGTAAAAAGTACTATGAAGAAAACAACAAATATCCTTTACTATACAAAATTATTTGGTTCCTGATTCAAATATCCAGATCAAATAGCAAGAATTATTTAGAAATCTTTTCAATTCCTGAATTTCAAAAAGCAAGTAGTAAGACTTCAGATGGCAAAGGATTTATCAAAGAATTTCTTTGAATTTCCTCAGTTCCTAATGTCAGATGGAGATGAATCCTTGAAGAGCAGGGAGGAAATGGAATGGCAGAAGGTGCTTCCATAGACAGGGTGGTCAGAGCCCTGAGTGAAGTGAGAAAATAGCTGATGCAGTTTTCTGAAGGACAGCGTTCTAGGCAGAAGCGACAGCAAGTGCAGAGGCCCTAAGAAGGGGGTATGCTCGGCACACTCAAGGTCTAGCTAGGAAGACAGTACTGCCTTTCTAAAACAGACCCTCCACCCATCCCACACACACACATCAATCTCTCTCCTCCTCTGACTTTGTTTGTCTGTGAAACTTTACAGTATCTGACATTAATATTGACTTGTCTTTTAGGAAATCAATGACATTTCTCAAACGCAAGTACTTGATACTTATTTAATGATACATTTAAGAGAATGACAAGATGATGAACACAAAATAGTTCATTTGCAATATAGGGATTCTTGGTGGGAAAAAATAGTTACCTCAAAGTTACCCATGACGACAATCTATGAAACCATCTATAAACGAAGAAAAAGGATAGTTTTCATTTTATTTCCTCTGCACTGAAACTCCTAAGACAGGCAGACTGACAAGTCTGTTTCAGAGAACATCAAATGACTGGTTCCAACAATTTATCATTGTTGTTCCTTGGTATTTAATCATATTTATCACGTTGGCTCCAATTTCTTAAAAGAGAACTGTTATTAAGACTCCAAGGAACTAAAAACACTTCACTGTTAAGATAATAAGGCAATTAATTTCAAATCACTCTTAAAATAAATTTAAACTATCAAAAAAAGAGCCTGGCCCTAAATCCCCTCACACACAGTAGGCATTCCACAAAGGCCCGCCTTCTTGAACTGAACTGACATCGGTATCCGAGTTCCAGTTTCATAGCATTTATTAATACTAACATGGAAATATATCGCCTGCCAGGAAGTTCCAGTTCTCTCAGAAAAGAGTCATCAAAGCATTGATTTCAGAATTATTTGGGATTCTCTAGATTCTTCTTCGTGTTTGTTCACTCATATAAATTGTGTGTTACTAAATGTAGGAAAACACATACTAGCAAAACACCCAGGTAGCTCATTTATTAAATCCCAGTGGCAGATCCAGACTTTGTGTGGCCTAAAGCACATAGAATTTGGGTGGTCCTCTCTAAGAATAAGAATACAAAATTAGGAATGAAAAATTAAATATTTATTTATAATGTGAAAAGAAATCACCATAAAATGTTGGAGACTTAGAGATTTAAGTTCCTTTCTCCGAGATCACATGACCTGAAATGCTTACTAAGAAATCCTTCCTGACTACACCTGCTTCCTCTCCCTCCCTGAGACTCCCAGCATCTGCGAGAAGCCCAGGCCAATGTGGAACCCAGAGTTTAAGTTTCATTAGCCCCACAGTAACTCCATTCCTGGTAGAACTTTCTCAGCTCCCTCTCAGGCGTCAAACTCAGAAGATCAATCTACAAGTACAGAGGTAGTTCAGAGATGTCCTGCAGATATAATGAGGTTTGAAGTTGTATGGAGTTCAATTTGGTGGCCATCTGGTCTTAGCCATTTTTAACTGGCTCATTCTTGGGAGAAAGCTACTAATGGTAGGCCATCTTGTCTCTCAGAGATGAACAGAGTTAAGGAAAGGCAGGGGTTTTAGCCAGGTCACATAGGCCTATTGTGGGATAACAAATTTTCCCCTTTTCTGTTTTCACTCACATTCTTGAAGGATATCGAGAGTCGAAGATCTGTCTTCTCTCATAAAAGAGTTGTTGTTGTCAGGGGCCTGTTAGAGAAGTGAAACCTTCCCCTAGCTAGCTTCAAGTAGGTCTAATATCTCCTGGCTGTAGCCCCACCCATTAATCCCTGAGTTATTATCATCTATAGTTTGCCTCAACTCTTTCAGAGACAAACTAGACAGTTCAGGAGGCAGGGCCCAAGGATGAGCAGTAAAAGGATAGCGGCAAGAGATCCCAAGACAGTGGTTCTCAACCTTCTGGCCCTTTAAATACAGTTCCTCATGTTGTGACCCAACCATAAAATTATTTTCGTTGCTACTTCATAACTGTAATGTTGCTACTGTTATGAATTGTAATGTAAATACCTGATATGCAGGATGGTCTTAGGCGACCCCT